TCCACTGCCCCCCATCCCTCCCACCTCTATTGTGAATCAGCATCTTCATATCAGAGGGAACATTGGCCTTTGGTTTCAGGGATTTGGCTTGTTTTGCTTAGCATGATAGTCTCCAGTTCCATCTATTTGCCTGCAAATGCCATAATTTCATTCATCTTCATGGCTGAGTAATATTCTGTTGTGTATATGTACCATGTTTTCTTTATTCATTCATCTGTTGAAGGACACCTAGGTTGGTTACAGAGCTTAGCTATTGTGAATTAAGCTGCTACAAACAGTGACATGGCTGCATCAGTGTAGTATGCTGATTTTAAGTCCTTTGAGTAAAAACCAAGGAGTGGGATAGCTGGGTCGAATGGTGGTTCCATTCCAAGTTTTCTAAGGAATCTCCATGCTGCTTTCCAGATTGGTTGCACCAATTTGCAGTCCCACCAGCAAGGTATGAGTGTGCCTTTTCCCCTACATCCTCACCAATACTTACTGTTGTTTGTATTCTTGAAAGCTGCCATTCTGACTGGCATGAGATGGAATCTTAAGAGTAGTTTTGATTTGCATTTCTCTAATTACTAGAGATGTTGAACATTTTTTCAAATATTTCTTGATTGATTGTATATCTTCTTCTGAGAAGTGTCTCTTCAGCCCTTTAGCCCATTTATGGATTGGGGGTTTTTTTGATGTTAAGTTTTTTGAGTTATTTATATATCATAGAGATTAGTGCTATATCTGATGTGCGTGTGGTAAAAATTTGCCCCCAAAATGTAGGTTCTCTGTTCACCTCTTGATACTTGTATTATTCTTTTTTTTAAGAGAGAGTGTGTGTGAGAGAGAGAGAGAGAAAGAAAGAGTTTTTTAATATTTATTTTTTTAGTTTTTGGCGAACACAACATCTTTGTTTGTATGTGGTGCTGAGGATCGAACCCGGGCCGCACGCATGCCAGGCGTGCGCGCTACCGCTTGAGCCACATCCCCAGCCCTGTTACTTGTATTCTTGGTAAATGCCATCCTAACTGGAGTGAGATGGAATCTCAGTGTAATTTTAATTTGCATTGTGATTTTTAACATTAACCAAAAGATGAACCGTATCTAGTTGTAATTTTTTAACTAAAATTTAAATCACTATCTAGTACTTCCCTAAGATCTCAAAGAGATGAACCAAAACATGGTAGAGGATAGGAATATACAGAAGTACTCAGGAATATTTGTTGTCACTTACTACCTAACTGTGTTTTTCAACCTGAGTTCAAGCAAGAAATGAAGAGCAATGTCCAAAGGACCTCTAGGGGTCACAAAATTTGGAGGGTATTGAATATACTTCCTGACTTAGAAGTAAATTTCACTCAGTAGCAACAAATTTGAAGAATCTGTGGATCCAAAAAGCAACTGGTTCCTGTAAGACAAGGCTTGTTTTGAGTCATAAAGTCTGCTTTGAAATGAACCTTGCCACATTCTATCAGATAAGACTACTGCTGTGTGCCTAGAGTTTTCATTATCTACTGTTCTTAGTGTCTTTGGTTACAGGATTGAATCAAATTTAGAAGGGAAAAAACCTTCAGGATCTAGAAAAGAAATTATTTGTACTCATGTTGAAATCTATGATGACTTCTGTAAATGCTAGTATATCTGAATGCATTTTTAATTAAAACTTTATATGGAATGCATTAATCAGAATGGTGGATTTCAAATATGCCACAATTAGTGCATTTTTATAGCTACTGCAGTGTCTACTGTGTGGTTAACCGCACACACTAACAGTCTTTTTGTCATCACCACCCATTCCTCCCCCACAGATACGAGGCAAAAGAATACTACGAGGCACTTCCAGAGCTTCAGCTGGCCATCGATCAAATTGATAATGGGTTCTTTTCTCCTAACCAACCCGACCTCTTCAAAGATATCGTCAATATGCTGTTTTATCATGACAGGTGAGTTCCTATAAGAAGATGTTATGATTTAGGCTGTGAAATGGGAAGAGAACTTCTTTAACTACAGCCCATTCATATAGATTAGCTTAGGTCTGTGATCTGATCAGCTAACTAAGCTTGGGGGTGGGAGGATGGGAAGAGTCTTCACCAATGGTACTACTAAGATTTAAGAATAAGACCCTCAAACCTGGCACACTTTTTCATCTTCCACTGATATAGTCAACTTTCTAACATACATATTTTGATATATTTAAATGTGGGAAGAACCATAAAAATGTTGAGGGCTGGCAAACATTCTTATGAACAGGTAAACCAGCCATGCCTGACATTAAGCAAAAGAGAATTTTAAGTAGAATCTTAGCTTGCATCTGTTAATGAAGCTTTCTGTTGTTTTGTTTTTTCCTTTTAACAACCCCCCCAAAAAAACACAGATTTAAAGTCTTTGCAGACTATGAAGCCTATGTCAAATGTCAAGAAAAAGTCAGTCAGCTGTACATGGTGAGTAAGTTTTGTGGAGATTTGTGAAAGAACCCAGTTTAGTATGATTAAACTTTTTGTTTCAGTAAATCTAAATATCAGGGCCCCCCTAATCAATCACAAATAGGTGGGGTTTGGGGTATGCCTCAGTGGTAGAGTATATGCCTAACATATATAAGGAAGGCCTTGGGTTTGATCCCCAGCACCACAAGAGAAAAATGAAATGAGGTAACTATTCACGTTGTTCAGATCAAAACTTAACTTTTCATAAGGTTAGACAGAGGTCGGGATTCAAGATTTCAGTAATAATTGTAAAATTTTTTAATACCCAAGTAAAAATCACATTTATTGAGCATATAGCAGCAGGTAGCAGGCACATTCTGAAAGTTCAGGCACTTGGGGTCTTCATGACTGGCACCATGGTTGGCACTGAGAGCATAGCACGGACAAGAAAGGGTCCCGCCCAGCTTCCCTCAAGCAACCTGCACTGCAGAATTCTTCACCAGAGGTGTACATCACAATCACCAAGACCGCTATTATAAAGTATGGATATGCCCCCCCTAACACTGCTGCCCTCTGCTGCCTCACCAGAGATTCTGACCCAGCAGTGTGTGGTATCCACCATTAGTATTTGGAAAGCCTGTCAAGATGATTCTAAGGTTGAGCCTTAGTTTATTGGAATAAGAACTGACCCCCGACCCCATTCTTTGAAAATTGCAAAGTAAATACCTCTCCTCAACTACTAGAGTGGGGCTATAGAAATAGAATAAAACTGTATAGAAGGAAGAGAGTTTTTATGTTTGAATTTTTTTTTACATTATACAGAAAAATAAAATAATAGCTAGAGTCACTTGAATAAGGCTCACATGCAAAGTGGCACACCTTTATCAAATAGTCCTCTAGGTGTATTTTGTAAGGATATGTCAAGGCTGATCATGTCTGATAAGAGAGACTTAGAGAATTTCAGGTCCTCCCAGTGGAATGGATACAGGAGAGGCAGCTCTGTGCCAAGACTCCTGGGACTGCATCACTAACTTTGTTTTCTATTCCTTTTCCAAGACAGGTGACAGGTAGTTCCTACTCATCATAGGTATCCTATTGGGGTTTTCAAATGGGATTATTCAAGGTCTGTGCTGCTTTCTGGCCACTATCTTCTGGTTTGAGTCACACCCATCCCCCAACAGTGTACATATCAGAGAAGTTGGTAACAGCTTTGAACAAGTGAGACCGCACTAGAGCTAAGCTACATGGCTCACTATCTGCTTCTTGAACTTTGTAGGCAGCAGCCACATATAGCCATCACGAATTCAAAGACAGATAAAGGGAAATGTAAGTAGAACAGAGCAGGAAAGGAAAATATGAACAAGGACAGGGACAAATGTAAATGTCAGTTTTACACAGAGGATCTCCTCTGTAAATGTGTGGTCCAATCCCAAAGGATGACCATCTAGAAGCCCAGGATGTGATGCAAATTGCAGTTTTCTACTCTTAACAGTATTATGTTCTTGAGGCTTAGTAAACATGACCTACCTAGCTGGGAAAGCTGTTCACTATGCATTTAAGCAGTTGAAGAAAGGGAAGAAAGGTGTGGTCTTCTTGTTGTGTCCTCCCAGTGGAAGTTTTGTTATCATAGTAAGTTTCAAAAGTCTGAACTAATTGCAGTAACTTAAGGTTTGATGGTAATTTTAGTCTTGCTCTTAAAGGCTTATAATGCATGGTTAACAACTTTGAGTAGCTCTCAGTTAACTTTCAGAGTTCTTTGGAAAATCATGAGGCTATAAGTTAAACATCATTTTATATTATTTTACATAAAATCATAAAATTGTGATATTATATTTTTATTAAGGTGTCTTGTTTCACCCTGTTTTGGAACCCCAATGGGGTATTTGGAATTTAGTGTAAACCTACTAGGCCATATACTTCGGAAAGAACAAGAGAAGCTAAGTGGGTCAACAGAGTCTTTCACTGTTTTGTAGCTGACATTCTGGAGCAGAGATTTTCATACTTTGTGAGCCACATGTTAAATCTCTTGACATGGCATCTTGCAGACAATGAATGTTAGTCTCTTCCTGCCCCATAGTTTAAAGGGAGGTGACTTCCTTCAAAATAGAGCATGGGAAATGTATGTAACTTACATGCCAAAGCATTTTAAGTATAGGAAGAATTACCAACTAGAAAATTCACACCCATAGTTTCTCTTAAAATGAAAAATATTTTTTTGTTCCTCAGAGAAGTATACTCTGAATATGAGAAAAGTGCATTCCATACCTATCTGTCAACTGTGGAGACAATGTGTTTGTAATTCATTCTAGTTTACTCCTGTCATTTTCTCCATGAAATGTGCTTGGTCTGATGTTTGTCATGAAGCTCACTGGCACTCAGGCTGTACCCGCATATTTTGTTCACAGAATCAGAAAGCCTGGAACATGATGGTACTCAAAAACATAGCTGCCTCTGGGAAATTCTCCAGTGACCGGACAATTAAGGAATATGCCAGGGACATCTGGAACATGGAGCCTTCGGATCTAAAGATCTCCCTGTCCAATGAATCTAGGAATGGGGTGGACAAAGCCAATGGAAATTGAATCATAACATGTCTCTAAAAAAAAAAGAGCTTCTTATTGAATTTGAACATTTTCACAGCATTCATTGATTTATTAGCTAATAGTTAAGTATCTTTGGGAATGGAAATGGAACATGTATGGTTGTATTTAGGACTGAAAATAAAGTGTCAATTACTGAAGACTCCAGGAGTGCCAAAACTTATTGCTTTATAGCAGATTGATAGCTTGCAAGGACTTAACCCAAAACTAATCAGAAAATTGGAAAAGTGCTTAGAACTTGATAGTGCTATTTAAATGAATTAAACAAAAACAAATTCTTTAACTACAGTAAAGCACCATTTTTAAAAAAAATATCTTTATTTATTTATTTGTATGTGATACTGAGGATCAAACCCAGTGCCTCACACATGCAAGGCAGGTGCTCTACCACTGAGCTACAGCCCCAGCCCAAAGCACCTTTATTTAATACTGCTAAGTCCAGACCAAAGACTATGTCTTAGTCTATTCAGGCTGCTATAACAAAATGTCATAAACGGAATAACTTATAAATAATAGAAATTTATTTCTCATAGTTCTGGCAATTAGAAGTCCAAAATCAAGGGGCTAGCACATTCAGTGTCTAGTGGGGACCACTTTCTGTTCATAGGTGTGGTCTTCCTGTTGTGTCCTCCCAGTGGAAGAGGTACAGAGCTCTTTGGGCCTATTTCATAAGGACACTAATCCTGTTCATGACTGAACTCTCATGATCCAGTCACCTCCCCCAACATCATAACCTTCGACATATGAATTTGGGGGCAGGTGCAGATGTTCCCACCATAGCAAATGTCCCCAGTCTGATGACTATACATTTTTAGATGAGATCCAAATTTTACCAAATTCTGATTCTCCATGGTGATGAGGTTTCAGCATGTTTCAAAGTAGACTATGATGAGCTAAATGAGAACATTCCATGCCTCCCCTACATTCTCCTTGTTTAGATGACAAGTGTCTTGGGGAAGTGTCAGTGGTTTCAGCTCATTCAAGCATCCCAGTAGAATGTTGCATAAGGAAAATATACATTAAAGGTGGTATTTGGACCAAGTCCTCAGTGAAGATTGCTGCTGCTCTCATGACCTAAGCCCACTGCTCACTCAGGAAATCTCTGCAGAAAAGGAACCTCGATCAGCCCACACCTTCCTTCCTTAGATCCAGGTAAGCCAGAGCAGTCCTAATGGCTTTTACAGGAAAATAGATGTATTCTAAAAAGCAGTTCTTACCTCACGGTTTTTAATAGTATGGGACTTTTATGAAGGAAATTGTGATGGAAACCAGGAGGAAAGATAACCATCTTGACCCTCTCTTTGTGCCTGTAGGCATCATGTGCAATTTCATAGAGCTGAAAGAAAAAGAAAAAAAAAAAAGGGACTCAAAGGCCAACAGTTCAAAGCCATAGGCTCCCTATATGATTTTCCTAAAAAGGTTCAGAAACAACCAACTTGGGGAGTTTATCTCATTGGTTCAGAGACATGAGGCCTCTCCATGTCCCCAGCTAGCTGCCTCTACAGCTAAGGAAAAAAAGGCTGCACAGCCAATATAGGACACTGATCAAACCTCATCCTCCTCTGCCTGTACCTCACTGCAGAGGAACAGGCAATGTTATGGACCCACTCCAGGAGAGGTTTGTTTAAAGGGAAAAACTGCATCCCTATTTTTAGAGCCACTACAGTAGAAGCAACATTTTGTGGTTTGCCTATGAAATGTCCACCCAGAGCTTATGTTAGACCAATGGAGGAATATTTGGAGGAGAAATGATCAGACTATGAGAACTGTAATAATCCATTTAATTATTTGAAAACACTACCATCCTAGGTGGTAACTGTAGGTGGGTAGGTTGTGGCTACAGGCAGGCAGTCACTGGAGGCATGCTCTGGGGGATTAGATCTCCAGTCCCTGGCTCCTTGATCCTTCTCTCTCCTTCCTGGCTGCCAGGAGCTGAGGGGTTTTCCTCCATCATGCCCTTTCACCATAGTGTTTCACCATGGACTGAGACCTCTGAAACAGTGAGCCAGAATAAACTCTTCCTCCTCTAAATTGTTCTTCTCAGATATTTTGATTAGAGCAACAAAAAGCTGACTAACACAAACATGGAGCTTCCCACATAGCCTGGAATCTTCTCTCCACTTAGGAACCACAGACCCCCACATGAGGGGCCCAACTCTGCCCACAAACATGCCTTTGAGCTAAGTAGCCAAAGACACTGAAATTTGTTGTGTGAAATTTGCACAATTTTAGAAGACCTTGTATTTTTCCTTATTCCACCAGGCATCATGGCTATTTAAGGGTGCAGAATTTCAAAAGAAATGCATATAGTGAGTTTCAGTGGGCTCTGAGCTTGTCGTTTACCTTTTTTCCACACTCCAAAGGCACAGTCCTGTCATCCTCTCCATGTAAGATGAGCAGGGGAGAAGACAGGAATTTAACACTGAGACAAGTGGGAAAAAAGCATTCAGTTTAGGAGCTATACATTGAGATCTCTCCTTTTCTTTTTTCAAAGTTAATACCTTTTTCCTTTCTCACATATAAAAAGAACTAATTTCACGATAAAAATAATAATCATGATGATAATGTATAAACTATCACTATCCAATCTCTTCCCAAATAACCTAAAGAGCTATAAGCTCACCAGTATCTAGAACAATGATTGGCACATATTAGGTACTACTCAAATATTTTTTTGAAGACATACAAGGAAGAAGGAGATCTCTCCTTTTCTCAGGTAAAGTTTTAGCAAAACATAAAGTTCACCTAAAACTTCAATTACAAGAAATCTCCTTCCTTCCAAAAAATAACAGTTTCTGTATTAAAAAAATTGCATAGGGTAACTTTTTTTCCAGGAAAATGTCCTTTGAAACAATTTGAATATTTCATTAATTTAACTTACTTCTATCTGACTTTAGGAAATACTGAAGAAATACACTGAGATGTTGAATTTGCACAATGTTAGAAGACCTTGTATTTTTCCTTATTCCACCTTATTTTGTATTATCTGAATATTTTAATTAAAATATTTTCTGGCAGCCAGAAAATAACTCAAAACCCAAAAATAATAAAAACTATCACAGATCCAGAGACCTCTTTGTGGCAATTAATTTACTTTTCCCATAATAGTAGAGGATGGACATGCAGTTGACAAGCTTTTGACTGCTTCCTGGTCAGTCTCTTAATTTGGTTATCCAAAAAGGCTACGGCACAAACAGTGCCTTGATGCCCACTCCAGTGACTTTCTCAAACAGTGTTTCTCAGTCCTTCCCAAATTCTGATACCTATCCATTCCTGCCAGGGTGACTTCGTGCCACCTCTGAGCACAATAGAGTTCCTTAGGTGTGTTAAAATACAAACAAAATTGACCACCACTGATTAGAAGTATTCTCAAATTTCATAAATTCATTGGATCTGCTGTTGGGTTAGGAGGATGGATATCAAGTGGGTTTGGGTTACATGGGGAATGAAGCCTAGAAGTCAGAGACCCCTTAAGAAATGTTAGACTAGACCCTAGAGGACCTTTAAAATGTCTTATAGGTCATAAATATACAAGTCTGAGTTCATAGGGAAAACTGTACTGGTGAAGACATTGGATTAGACAAGAGGGAAATAGCAAATACTGAAAATTCATAGAAACCCTACCCCAAAGCCTAGTGCCCATCTAAGAATGCTAGAACAATATTCTAAGAAAATAAGGACAGGATTTAGATCTGTCATCACCGTAAGTTACATATTAGTTAACCTGGAACCCTACAGATGGAGCAACAGTGGAGCTTCTCATCATAGCTTACTTTTCATCACTGGGGAAGACTATCCTGTCTTTTCTCAGGGCATCCATAAGCACCTGTACACATCCTGGCAGCTTCTGGTAAATCTATTAAAAAAAAAAAAAAGCAACATTAATAATTGTCCCACATAGCTGTGCCATTTGTTATAGTTTCTCACCACAAGCCATACTAACATAGAAAGTAGCAACTTTCTAAATATAATGAACTTTTTTAGAAAACTTATGATTTTAAAAGGTAATTCATGTCTTTGTAGGAAATTTGGGGAAAAAAAAACAGAAAGGAACAAAGAAACAAGTTTTATGTATTTCTACCGCTATAGATAATCAGTTAACATAATTAACTAGTTTAGTTGGAGAACAATATTCTGATCAGTCAAAAATTCTGTGAATCCCCCAAAACCAAAGACTGAAAGTTTTCTCTTGATATGTAGATTCTAATTCACAATGGGGTGGGGGGGGCGGTTCTTGGGAAGAATAGAGGTACTTTGAATTAGGCAGAGGGGAGTATATGGGAAGGGGAGATGGGGTAAAAAGAAAGGTAGAATGAATCAGACATTATTACCCTATGTACATATATGAGTACACAACTGGTGTGATTCTACAGAATGAGAAATTATAATACTCCATATATGTATGATGTGTTAAAATGCATTCTACAAATAAAACAAATAAAAATAAAAATTTTAAAATTCTGGTGAAAGTATACAATATCTAGATAATTGGTTTGAGAGGATTTGAATATTATAAACTGTTGAAATAATGTTATAATTCTTTAAAAGAGATTTTAAGTTTTAACAATAACCACAGAGCTCCAAAGGTAATATATTATTCTATAAATACCGAATTTCTTCTTTAATGGCAAAGTCCAATAAATAGAATGCTAACTAAATCTTTTCCACTATTTTGATTGTCAACACATAAATTAGTTTATATGCCTTACAAACATCCACTTCAGTTGAAAATGAAGAGCAAAGGATGGAAGCCCTGAGCAGTCTAGCAGCTTCCTCACACCTTTGAACCCGCTTCCACACCATATCCAATTCCCACTATTACCCAGCCCAAGTCACCTCTGTCTCTTGCTTGGACTATGCCAACAGTCCCAAATGGGTCCCTGCTTCCACCCTCACCTATAATCCATTTCTTACAGGGACACCAGAGTGATCACTTAAACATGCAAATTAGATCATATCAATGTTTCTTTTGCTTAGCAGCCTCCAAAGGCACATGTTAAATCAAACGTGTCACCTTGGTCTTTGAGGCCCTGCAGCACCTGGTTGGTGGCTGCCTGTTTGCAGCCACATTTGTCATTAAGGCCCCACTGCCCACTTTCAGGGAGGTGGAACATGTTCTGGAACATTCCAAGCTTGATCCTACCCCAAGGCCCTCACCTTTACTTTTCTCTTTTAGTAAACAGTGTGGTAGTCCCAAATGTGGTAGCCTCAAAGCTTTAGTAGCTTTAATACTTCTTGGTCAGAGACCGCTGGATTTTGCCATGGTAAAACTGACTAGTCTTAGCTCAGAGGACATTTCTTCAGAGAGGTTTTCCTAACTAGCCATAACTCTGGCCCTCTGCCACCCATTTGCTCCCCATCACATTATTGTATTGTGTTCACAGCACTTCTCATTATTTGGTATTTTCTGGTGGTATACTTGTCTTTGTTTCTCCAGCAAGAATATAAACTTTCATAGGAGGAGGAATCAGGAATTATTTTTCCTTGTGGGATCCCCAGAACTTGGAATAATTTCTGGTATACAGTACACATTCAATAAATATTTGTTAAAGATGGAAATATTATGCAAATATACCTGGTATACATTTTGAATACTATCTGTAATTTTCCTTTTAGAGTAACTGATTTTCAGGTTTCATTTCTTAAAACAGACTTGCAAAGAAGAAAGACCAGGGGTAGCAGGGGGCAGAGATGCAATATAGTAAACAGGACACCACCAAGAGAAGAAAATGAGCACAGAATAGGTAAACCAGGGCGAATAGAGACAAACTACAGCTTCATTATTTGTAAAAAAGGAAAAAAAAATCATTGAAACCTGCCTCATGGCTACAAAGTCACTTCTTAGAGTCTCCTGCTATGAACTGTGGTAATATAAAGAAGAGTAACTTTTTAAATATAATTATTTTTTAACTTTTTTCTGATTTTAAAAAGTATTTTGTGTCCTCATAAGGAATAGGGAGGCCAGCATCAGTAAATATAGATTTCTGCTTCACAGCTGGGGCTCAGGCTTGAGTGCTACTTCCAAACCTCCTTGGCTTCACAGGATTATCTGGCCTGCTCTTTTGCTTGGTCTCTGAGCAAGTGACACATATTCAGGAAAGATCTGGACAGCCTGGCACAGCCCCCCTCTTTCTTCCTCCATGCTAAGGGCCAGTTTTCTTCATTTATTTTCTCTTTTCTTTGTCTTTCAATTTTCTGACTCCTAGAAGGGGAACTCCTTGGAGGAAAATTCAGTAAGAGAAGCCCTTCAGCAATTCATCTCAAATTCTAAAAGTGTAGGAAGAAAGCAGACTCAAGTCAATCTACTCCATTGTTCCTCACTCCCTTTCAGCCTGGGATGCCCTTAAAGACACAAAGGTCATACTGTCCCCGCCCGCCCAGACCACAGCAAGGGGCTCCTAATTGGCCTTTCTCACTTCCCCTCTCTTCTGTAATGCCACCAGATAAATATTCTTAAGATACCATCTGCATGGTGAAACCTGCTATTACAAAACTTTGGGCCTGCCACACTATCTACTAAAAACAACTTCTAGCTTGACTATAAGCCCATTCACATCTGGCCACCCTTTTTCATTCCAAAGGCTGTTCACCTCCAATCCATCTGGAGTTAGAAGGTGTTTCCTCCTCTTACAAGGTATGTGACAATTAGGAAAGTCTCTACGGCTCTTTTTTCCTCATCTCTAAGTGGGGGCAACAATGCCACATAGTACTTTATTTAAATCTCAATCTCTCTCTCTCTCTCTCTCTCTCTCTCTCTCTCTCTCTCTCTCTCCCCCCATAGCCCAAGAATCTTTTTGTTTTGGTTTTGTTTTGTTTGGATTGGGTAGTGTTTAAGTGTGCATGTGTATGTGTGTGTTTCTTGCTGTGCTGATTGGTTTGGGGACATATATACATATTTATTCATTTCCCACCCCCCTCATTTTTAGCATTTTTTAAATGTAGTTATTTTTCCATGCTTTGTCTTTTGAGGGTTAAGGTTTTTGGTTTGTTTATTGTATGTAAATATACTAAATATTATAATTAATAGACAAAAACTATGATACCTAAAAAAGAAATCAAAACTCTACTATATGGTGCTTACAAGAGATATGCATTAAATATAAATATCATAAAGATATGCATGAAATATAGACATTCAAGCTGAGATTCAAGGAATAGAAAAAGCTAAACTATTCAAACACCAATTAAAGCAAAGGTATACTAATAATGGGTAATGCTGACTTTAAGTCAAGAAGCACCATTAGTCACAAAAGAAAAGGGACATTTTTATAATGAAAAAAGGATTATCCTACCTGGAAGATATAAAACCTACATTACTATATTACTAGGTGACACACCTAATAGTCTCACCTCAAAAAAAAAAAAAAAAAAAAAAAAAACCTAAACTAAAACTGATAGAAACAAACAACTCCATACTCATGGGAGATACTTTAATACCCCCCTGAGTAACAGAAAAAAAGCAGCATACCAAAAAACTAGTAAAGATAAAGAACTGAATAGCATGATTAAGAATCCTAATCCAAGTTACAGCAATGGAACACTACAGACAGCAGAACACATTCTATTTAAGCATATAGAACATTAAAAATTGATTATATGTTGTGACATAATGCACATTTCAACAAATTTCAAAAGACTGAAATAATAGATTATTTTCCTGGATCTTGATAATGTTGAAATACATCTTGCTCAGTGAAATAAGCCAATCCCAAAAATCCGTGGACCAGATTAATTCTCAGCTGAATTCTATCAGACCTTTAGTGCCAGTGCTCCTCGGGTTATTCCATGTAATTGAAAGGAATGGAACACTTCCAGATTCATTCTATGAAACCAGAATCACACTTATACCAAAATCACCTAAGGACACATCAAGGAAAGAAAACCATAGACCAATACCCCTGATAAACTTCAATTCAAAAATTCATAATAAAAAAATTTCAAATATTATTCAATAACATATTAAGAATATTTTATATTATGACAAAGCTGGTTTTATCCCAGAGACGCAAGGATAGTTTAACATATGGAAATCAATAAGTTTGATTTATCACAAAAATAGAATTAAGGACAAAAATCTCTTAGGCATCTCAGTAGATACAAAGAAGACTTTAATTAAATTTGGCACCGATTCCTGATAAAAACACTGAAGAAAGTAGGATTGAAGAAATTGACCTCGATATAAAGGCTATTTACAAAAACCAAAAGTAACATCATAGTCAATGGGAAACAAAATGAAAGCATTTCTTTTAAAATTTGGAACAAGACAAGGATGTCCATCCTCACCACTCATATCTAATATAGCACTAGAAATTCTATCCAGAGCAATTAGGCAAGGGAAGGAAATAAAAGCAATAAAAATAGGAAAGGGAAAAATCAAACTACAAAACTGTTTGCAGGTGATATAATCCTATACTTAGAAGATCCAAAAAGCTCCACCAAAAGAATGCTAGAGCTAATAAACAAGTTTAGCAAAGTAGCAGATTACAAAATCAGCATACAAAAGTCAAGAGCTTTCCTACATATCAGCAATGAATCTGCTGAGAAAGAAATTAAAGAATAAATTAATTAAATATAATACCTAGGAATAAATCTAACCAAGGAGGTGAAAGACCTCTACAATGAAAACTATAGAATACTGAAGAAAGAAATTGAACAGGCCAGGCAGGGTGGCGCACGCCTGTAATCCCAGTGGCTCAGGAGGCTAAGACAGGAGAATTGTGAGTTCAAAGCCAGCCTCAGCAATGGTCAAGGCACTAAGCAACTCAGTGAGACCCTGTCTCTAAATAAAATAGAAAATAGGGCTGGGATGTGGCTCAGTGGTAGAGTATCTCTGAGTTCAATCCCCGCTACAAAAAA